GGTGTGTCGTTAATTTGCTTTTAAGTCTACTTGCGGGTTGGTCTATATGTAACTTTTATGTTATATCGTATCTTATTGATAGCAATAACGTTTGTAAGTATTTTCTATTGGTATTGCTGTTTGTCAGTTTATGCCATGATTGCGTAGTGAATTCAAATATTGAAGTTTTAGTTTTTGTTATGGAAAATGTGGGTTTTTCTTAATGAAAGTCTCTTCAAATTTTCACATATTAATTTTGTTATTTCTAAGAAGACTGAAGTTTAATTTTTTTGTTCTGTGGTTTATCTGTTTGATGTTTGTTTATTGAACTCTTGTGCTTGTTTTTGAATTTTCATGAATTTCAATAACATTTGTGAATTTGTCAACCGCATATAATTTGCACCAGTACGGGTATGCTATATGTCATGGTAATAATTTCTGCTGAGAGATAAATCTTTTCTTAGCTATAGTCCCAAATGATTTACTTGAAGTTGAAATTTTTTCTGCGCATTTCTTTATTTTTTGTGCATTATTTCCTTGACTATTTCACTTTTCAACCCTGTTTGATGTCTGTTAATTTTATTTATAAGTTACTTGCAGCTTTTTGTAAGGATATTTTATAGTCGTTTTGGCTTTTATGTATTGGTGCATTTGTATTGTCTTTATGATTTATTACTTTAGCGTTTTCTGGCATAGAAACTTTTATGAGATATAATTTTATTTCCCTTGCTTGCTGGCTTTTGTAGAACGACTGTGCGCTACTTGTAGATATTTTGTAAGTCTTTAGATACTGAATGGAGTATCTGCTTGCTATTTTAATGTTAATATTATTTTAATAAGTTGAACTGTAAGTTGTTAAGCCGCCATTTATAAGATTTTTGTTTACTGACTTTAACTTTATTTTTGACTTCTTGCCAATTTTGCAAAAAAAAACTTTTTAATGTGATATTTCGTAGAGACTTGTAAATGATGTGAGTTGATCATTAATTCACGTTATAGTTTCCGTTTAATTTTGAATTTTTTTATTTTTTCTGATGTAATTTGAAGCATTTTTATTTTAGAAATTTAGTTATTCAAAAATTATAATTTTATTTAAAAAAAAAATTTTATTTTGATCAGTTTTGATTATTTTGGCGTATTTTGTTAAAAGTTTTTCTTGGATCTAATTTGTATCATTTTTATTATTAGAAATTTAGTTTTTTAAAAATAATAATTTAATTTAATAAAAAATTTTTTTTTTAAAAGTTTACATTATTTTAGCGTATTTTTTTTGGATGCAATGCTTCAAATTTTTTATTTCTAAAAATTTGGTTTCTCAAATATTATAATTTTATTTATTAAAAAAAAATTTAAAGAGTTTTTTTCTATTTTAGTGTGTTTGGTATAGAAAAATATAATTTAGTTTATTTTTTTGTTTGTGAATCAGGATTTATGCATGCTTTAAATGATAAGTTTTTATGTATTGAGAATAAAACAGAAATTCTTTTTTCTTAGATAATTTAAAAATGATAATTTTGGTTCTTCAGTAAGATATAAATATTATAAATATTATAATAGGAGTTATTAAATTTTTGCGGTCTGATGTGAAATTTAATTTGAATATTTTTTCTTTTGTTTAGTTTTGTTCTTTTTGTAATGCAGTTAAAATTTTGTCATTAATTTTTTTCTTTGCCGTATGTAATGAAGATTTTTAAATTATTTTTTTTCTAATGTAATTAAGATTTTGTTATTAATTTTGTTCTTTTTCTAATGTAATTAAAATTTTGTTCTTTTTCTAATGTAAATAAGATTTTGTCATTAATTTTGTTATTTTTCTAATGTAATTAAGATTTTGTTATTAATTTTGTTTAATTCGGTTTACGGTTGAATGACTTAATTTTTGCTTTTGTCTGGTTGATTAAAGAACTTTTTTAATTTTATTAATTTTATTTAATTCTGTTTTCGGTTGAATGACTTAATTTTCTCCTTTCTTTGGTTAATTAAAGAACTTTTTTAATTTTATTAATTTTGTTTAATTCTGTTTTCGGTTGAATGACTTAATTTTTGCCTTTGTTTGGTTGATTAAAGAACTTTTTAATTTTATTAATTTTGTTTTGTTTTGCCTTTGTGTTGTTAATTAAAAAACTTTTTTAATTTTATTAATATTGTCTTGATAACTGCATTAGTTTACACTTTTTATTTGCTCAAATCGGAATTTTGGATCATTTATCGAATTTGATGATATTTGCATTTTTGATAAATTTTAAATTTCATTAATATTTTTTTAAATCTAAACTATTCTAAATTTTCATAAAATTAATGCATATTTTTGATTTTGCCCGCTAAAATAATTAAAAAGTTTTTTAAATTGATTTCACTATTTTTTGAAAGTTGAATAAAATTTAATTTCTTATTAAATTCTAATAAGATTAAAAAAATGTTTGTATCTGAATGTCCATTTTCACATTTAATATTTTTAAATTTGTTTTGAAATTATTTCGAATATTTTTATTTCATTATATTTTGAGTGTAATATTTTGAATTATGTTACTTGATGAAATTTCACTTATTTTTTATATATTTATTTGAAATATTTTATTTTTGCTGAATGTCATAGGTATTAAAAATTGAAATTTTAAATTTAATTTTATTTAATTTCTTGAATTTTTGATGTTTGCTTGAATACCGATGTTGTGATAGTCATTAAAATTCAGTTTTAATTATATATGATTTTGTTGAAATTTCAGTAATAGGATTAAATAATATATAATGATTTTAGGTTACTATATTTTAAGTTAGTCAATTTTATTTTAATTTTGAAGCCTATTAAAAAGTTCGATTTTAGATTGATTCTAAAAGTTAACCGATTTAATATATAATGTTTGATTGTCAGAGTAAAAGGCTTTATCAATGAATTTTGATTTCTAAAATTAAAATAATTTTAAAATAATTTTTTTATCTATTATCAGAACAATTAATATACATAATTTTGATTCTTTTCTTTTAATATAATTTTAAATTTTGATTGATAATTTTTTTATTTTCATTATTGATATTGATTTTGAATTGTCAATATGAAATTATTTTTCTATTTGAATTTGAATTTTTAATTACATAACTAATTTTTTTTAAATAGTATTTTTGGAAGGATTATTCTAAAGTGTTCATTTTTGAAATAAAAAATTAAATTTTTTGCATTACTTTAAATTATTTAATTTTGGTTCGTGAGTTATGTTTTTAATATTGTAAATAATAATTTTTGTTGAGAAATAATATTAAAAAATGTAAGTTTGTTAACAAAATATATGATAAATATAGTCTTATTTTTTTGAATTTGATATTTTTAATAATTTTTTTTTTATCAATAGCAAGTAATATGTTTCAGAGTTTTTAGTATTCTTTAACCTAACGTAATAATTTAATTATTCAACTATTAATTTTGATATATACGTCATTGAGGCATTGTAAAAAAATTATTTTTTTGAATTTTGTAAATAAATTTCTGTTAAAATAAGTTTGGTAATAAAATTTTTATATATTAAAATCTGTTTTTGAGGATTTGACTTATCATATTATATCATATTTATCATGTTCTGAAAAATATTAATTAAATATTTTTTTTGGAATTGTTTCTTTTATTTTTTGAGTATAAATAATGGAATATATCAAGTAATGATAAAATATATTCTTTTTTGTTTGACTATCCAAATAATTTATTAAGTTGCTCTGATATTTTGACCATTTTATTTCGAATGCTTATAGAATTTGAAGTATATTTTCATTAAATTTTATAATATTTATTTTAAATTTAAAAAAAAATTGTAATTTTGAGAAGGAATAAATTAATAATATAAGACTTTTGCATATTTTACGTGTTTAGTTTGAATAATTTTTTAAATAAATTTTTATTTTATTCAAAAGTTATTTTTGTTTAAATATTTTTTGAGCTCAGACATTGAATTTTGAATTTATTATATTAAAAAACAATAAATAATATATACGATTATTTCTTGACTACAATTTTAATTTCATTTTTGTGAAAATTGTAAAATATTGTAAAGTTTTTGTATAAAAAATTAAAAATTGATTTTTGCAGTGAATAATGTTTTAATTTTGATATTCAAATTTATTAATGCATTTTGAATTTTGGATATTTAAAAATATTTTAATTTTGTATTACTGTCTAGGAATTTTTTTTTAAATTTTCTAGAGTATAATTTTTGTGAGTCATATTTTTTAATGAAGTTAATTTGATTTTATTTTTGAATTTATTTATTTTTTTTGTAAAACGTGTTAAAAATTTTATTTTGAATTTGTATTTTATTTAATTAACATATTTCTATTGCCAAAAGTGTATCCAAAAAAGCTGCCAGTTTATGAATTTAGAGTTATTCGAAAAAGTCCTTGATTTGATTTTGCGGCCAGAATATAAATTTTGAAGTGCTTTGCTAAAAAATTTAGAAAGGATCGATTTGAATTAACAATATTTTAGAAAAAAGATACAAAATTTCAGTATTTCATATAAAAATTTAAATTTCAATAAAAATGTAATTTTTAAAAATAAATTTCAATTGACAGA